CACTATACGATCACGGCGAGCTAATCCCGGGGTGACATCGACGCAACGGCACTCTAGAGTGTTGCCTCATACTTCACGTCGTACGGAGGAGGAGGAGGGATTTGTTACTGTAGATTATTAATATTTTTATTACAAACTGTTGTCACTCAACATGTGATGATTCTCAGGATAAGGAGCGTCTTTTTATGGCTTCTTCTTCTTTTATTCACGGACTATCTGCCTCACGTGACTTCTCTCTGTCCAACCCCTCAACTCCCATGTACCAGTGAAGTATGTGTGTGTAAGTGTGTGTGTAAGTGACCTTTTATAGGTTAATTATATAACAGTTAGCTTGTAATTCAAGGTGAAAAAGTAATTTGAAAATGTCCCCACAGAAATATTACTGTATATATCTTAGTGTATTCACCTCACTCCGTTCATTCTGTTAATACTGTTCATAATGTAAATATCTCACCAATATATTCATATATATATATATATATCTATAATTATTATACATAATTTTGAACATATGTCAATCACTCTGCACTTTACTACTTTGCACTTCTGGTTAGATGCTAACTGCATTTCGTTGTCTTGTACCTGTACTTGTGCAATGACAATAAAGTTGAATCTAATCTAGACTAATCTAATATGTATTTATATATTTCCATGTTATGCAAGAAAATAATACAACTTCCTGTTCTGTAAATGCTTTAATCAATCAGTGTGATCGGATTATTTACAATGATTATTGTTGGTATACCTTATTTTCTTCCCATATTTTACTTTAAGTTACAATTTCTTGTCTTTCTTAACTAATTACAACATGCAGTAAAATGTAGCTTGAGTAACTGATCAACTCTCCTGGCCCAGCCAATCAGAGCCGGAGTTTTCCCAAACCCAGATTGTGTCTGTGCGGGCCGGGGCAGGAGCTGGCTGCTGGGGAAGACCTTAGAGGAGCAGGCTTATTCACCACAGTCCCGAGGGAGCCCCGTGGCTTGGAGACAGTGAGGTCTGAGCTGGGTGTGACTGAGTGCATGTGCTCATGGGGGTGCAGGTGTGTGTGGTTGTCGTGCTGATGCTCAGTGTGCCCGCTGTCGGCCTTCGCATGGGCCTGCTCCTCCACAGCGGCAGCCTGCAGCGGGAGAGAACAGAGAAAGAGACAGTAAAACAAAATTATTCATTACTGCAACCTTTAAAAAATCGTCTCTAAAAGCCTCCATTAATCTAAATCTCAGGATGAATATCAAAATGTCAGAGATGCAATAACAGATTGGTACATGGATGAAGAGAAGTAGTTTGTTACTCGTGCAGATCAGATATATTAAGTGTGTGGTGCATCGCTGCAGTTGAAGCTGGTACCTGAGGTTCGTAGATCTCACACTTCACCTCTACAGGCTTCCGAAATGAGCTGTTCTTCTTTCCAACAGGTAGTCTGATTTCAAACTCGTCCTCATTGGCTACGTGTGAGCCCAAACAGAAGCCTTTATGCTGAGAGCAAAGAAATCCAGAACAGTTGAATAGCCTGGATTTACAATTACAAGTACAAGCAACTACCGACACAGCTAAGACTAGACGCACAAGTCTGAAGAACTTGTGCTGATTCAGTACAGTAAATCGTGTATTAAAACACTCTTAATACATATGTGTGTGTGACTCACAGCAAATTGACAGTCCATAGGTCGGCAGTCACTCAGTTCACTGGCATCTGTTTTCTTTGAACACACCGTCTCCACAATGGTGAACTCCACAAAGTAGGATGGACCAACTACCCACTGACAGACAAAGACATCATACTGACGTACATGTGTATACGTATTTATAACACTCCTATAAACTGCTTACCAAAATAATAATTAGGTGGCAAAGTTTTTAATCAGTCAAGAGAACTTCAATTTTCTCACTCAGTGTGTTATGACCAAATATAATCAACCTGATAAAAGTGCCACTGCTGCACATACAACATCAAAACCCATCCCTGATGATTTTCAAAGTAAAAAGAAATTAGTTAGACATTAAGTAGCCAATCCTTTGAAGAGCACAGAAAAATAAAGGTATAGCCCTAAGAAGGCTAGAAGGATAAACCTGATAAGAACCAAAGAACAAGAGACAGATCGTCTGTATGTATTTTTGCAAACATGAACCCTAATCTCTGGCCATAGATACTCCGAACAAATATTATTAAGTTATTACATTTTTTAATTGTTTTCTTAACCTGTGAACTGGCTTTTGTGATGTTCTCCAGAGTAAAGTAGTTGGTCAGGTGGCTCTCTTCGTTGAACCTCTGCAGAGAGAGATTGGCGGTCTCCTTGACGACGGGCTCATTCAGGTTGTCAGCTGTGGGACAGTCCGGACACACGTCCACCACTGCAGTGGCGGGAACTAAACAGACAGAATTAACAGCATCAAATCGTAGCTGAGGCTGTTAAGGATTTAATCCTGGCACTTTATACAGTGACAGGTACTCCTCCCCCAACCTTCATCCTGCAGTGTGAACCCTTCCAGCTATCCTCAGCATCCCTCCCTTCCCTCTGGTAGCTTGCTTTATCCAAATTGTGAAAAAATAAATAAAACTGATAATTTTCAAAAGCAACCCTGCATTATCATTCATGGATCCTTCGGGAGGTATTATTGGACAGAGCATAGAGAAACAATTCAATGTATATCAGCATCTTAATTTCACACCTCACTAGTGGTGAAGAAGCTAAGTGGAGAAGTGCCAACAAAATAGACTTGCAATGTGTTCTATCACAATGTGTTTTTGTGTTATCCTGTAATGAAGCAAGAATAATCCCAGATGAGTCTGAATGAGTCCGTCCGTCTACCTTCACGAATTGCACAGGAGTAGTGTTGAAGTTTGACTTGAGAGTCGACGTAGGCAGATATCTCACATTCTCCATACACCTGAAGGATGCAAATACACAGATGTAGGTGTACAGAAGAGCCATTTTTGGTCAAAAATAAAAAGCTGTCGGAAGCTACAAAACATATTTGAGCCTTATAATTCCAGTTTCTTTTTTTAGATTTGGAATCCATTGCACCAGGAAATGGATTTAGAATTTTGACTGATACATTTAAAAAAAAAAAAAGCATAATTTCACTTGCAAGTGCTAAACAAAGCAGAACTTTGGCATCAGTCTAAAAGTATATTTAAAAATGCAAATTATGTTAGGTTGAGGTTATTTTTAAAAGTGAGGATACGCCACCCTGTGGTACTTACTGGAACATCAGCAATATCTCTGACTTCACATTGTTTCCATGGTTTCCTGCTGTTGATGTGGCATTTGGTCTCCATGACATCAATGGTCAATTTATAGAGTGACCCACCTTTCTCCTACATGCATACACACACACACAAACACACACGCACACACACAGAGTTGGTTTTACATTTCTCTGCAACCACACTTAACAAGATGCAATACGGTGTAGAACCCTGTTCAAACTTTTGTGCACGTATGTGTGTGTGTGTTTGTGCAAGAGTTCACCCTCACCTTCTCAGGAGTGTGAGAGAGGTCGTACAGTCTGTTCAGGCTCAGGATATATCCGTGTGTCCGGTCCTGGTTGATCTGCTCCAGGGCCTCTTCCGCCACCCTCACCACCTCAGAGCTATTGCAGCCTGGAGGGTCTGA